GAAATAATACATTTGTCTGAAAGATTTGGCCATTCTGATATACAAATCCTGTGTTTTTTTCAAGAGCACCTTTAGGAAAAAATATTCCACCATCTCTTTCGCTTCTCCTAAATGCGATCAAGAATGATCCAGTTTAAACACGTGAGTGTGATTGTGGTTTAAAAAGATGAATTTAATAGTGATTTCAAAAAATGCATTATGAAGCACTTGGCAATAACAGTGATTTCAACAAATGCTTTATACAATGCAGCAAATTGGATCTATTCATTTATCTTGCAATAAATCTCTTGGCCATTTATCTTGCAATAAATCTCTCAGCCATACCACAAAACATAACTTTGCATGATTTTAAAATGGCACTGATTAATAAACCACAAAATAAATGCTTAGAAAACGATGGCTGCTTTTTCACCCACACAAAAACACAACAATAAACATACAATTTGAAAAACAGAAGATGAAGAATATACAGAAGATGCATGACTACTTCACCTTATTAAAATATAGAGTACTTTGTAATACTAGGTATCACACAATGTATACAAAATGCTTATTTGTAAAAAAAAATTCTAAAATAAATTTGGGAAAATACTGGATGTCTAGAAAATAGGCATTATCAAGAGCATAAAACTATATAAAGCATGAATTCAATACACTATCAAACATGCACTCTTCACAATACGTTCTGAATATGAGTATGAAGAAAAGCGATAAGCAAGTCATAAAAAGCAATTAACAAAATAACCTAACAAGAGAGTCACCTGAATATTAGTTTTATATTTCAACAAAATGTTCATAACTATTAATATATCTGTTGCATTATTTTATCAATGTTTCAATACCAGCTGCATATAATTCTTTGGATTGGTGTCTTTGCCATATTAGGATTTCCATCTTGAACATCATCATCATCTGCAAAGTTCCCGTTTTTTTTTTTTTTTTTTTTTTTTTTAATAGAACAAATAGGTACTGCTATTCTTAGTGCTATGGTTCTCCATCCATTGTGATGTTGAGTCTGCCTCCATATGAAAAGAACACCTACTTCGGTTTTCATTATAAACTTTGGAGAAGCACTTCAGAAAATTTCTTGACCCACTCATCCACAGTTTTACGCAACAAATAATTTCTTCCATAAACAGAAAAAATTTTGTTCTTGACTATCTTTTGTTTATAAAGTCCTTTCACCCCCCCAAAAAAAAAGTGGATAACAGTACACTGCTCTTCTCTATTGCTTGCCATTAGCATTTTCTGTGTGAAACTTTCAGCATTTTCAAACTGAACTGTGAATATGTAATTGGCACTTTGTTACTAATAAACTGATGGTTCTGCCACCTAGTAACATAAATGGAAGGTATTTATTGCTATTTGCAAACACATCATGCCAGTTTGTGAAATAAAGGCTTTCCCTCATACATATATATGTGCATGCAAGTTGTACTATATCTACAATATGATGAAAAATCAACTTTCTGCTTAGCTATCAGCTTTCCATATTTTAAGAACACAGCAACTTACTACATCACCTTTTAGAAAAAGCAGCAATTTAAAATAGTTCACCTCAAAAATCATAACATTTTAGAACATTAGGCAATGAAAATTAAATTTCAATACGACTAATAAATGTGTTCAAATCTGATATTTAAGTGTTCAATTTGGAAGTTTGTATCTTCAAAGAACACTAATTTATGAAAAAGGAATTAATGATGTTTAAATTTTTATTTATACTTCCACCACACTCATTTTGACACATTACCACTGCAAAAGATATAGATGCAGACTGAAAAGGAGACATGTAGAAATAAAAAAAAAATTTCATATTAATTTTTTTTTTAAATTAGAAAGCACATTTTACAACTTGTAAGAAATTTTCCCTTTCTTTACCACATGCCTCCCACCAGTTTGAATCCTGGTGAGCACACTGCTGACTTTTCATTTTTCTTGATCTGAAATACACTTAATGACTCTATATTCTCAGCCATGCTTAAATTATCATTCTTTTAAAGTTCTATGGAGTTGAATATCATCATGCATTATTACACTATTTATAGTATACATGTTTAATTTATACAACTACAGTCTGCTTTAGATTTCTGAAAATATTTTAGTTGTCAGACTGTGTTTTGGAGAGCAGATGTTTTGGTTCAAATTATGTGCTAAAATCACTAAAGCTCTTTCGTGAAGTCTGCAATATTTTGCTTTTGTCATAATTCAAACATCTGTTTTAGCTCAATGCCTGATACAAAAGTATTCATGCCTTTCACAATAATGTGTTAAAGCATACATTCCTATGTACAGTTGGAACCAATTTGAGCAGTAATCATGAAGCTGCTATCTAGCATATGCAACCTCGAATTACAGCTAATAACTTTGCAAGAACAAGATGTTGCTGAAATGCTACGATGTCATTTCCACTTTTTCCTTTTCTGAGAAAGAGCACTATTTTTTCTTTCCTCGCACTGGATGCCAACTTTTTATTTTCCATCGCCTTATAAAAATGTCTTAACTGCCTTTTAACTCTTTGAGGGGTGGTATATAAAATTGTTTAAATTGTTATAAAATTTGGCATGTATTGTAACTTATGGACCCTAAGAACACAAAATTGAGACTTTAAAAAAATCTAGAGTGAAATCCTGAATTCTGAGACCCTGTATATATTTTATACAGGTCCCCTGTATGACATTTTCTTCCAGATAGCTGCCAATTATTAATTTTTATTTTTAAAATTAATTTTGCATACTTTTGATATGTGTCTATAGAGGTGTGCGCTTGAATATAGTTTTGTAAGTCTTAAGAATAAACATTTTTTTTAAATTTTGCTAGAAATTTTAAAAATAAAATGTGTTTTTTCAGGCATTTTGATGATTACAACCCAGCTGAACATATTTATGTAAAATATGGGTAGAAAGCTTTATTTAAATACAATATTATTATTTTATGAAAAAAAATTAGCAAATATAACACTGCATGTGTAAACCGAATCATGCTGTAATTGAACTAGTATAATGTTACAAGGAGATGTAACTCAGCCGACAAATAAAATTTTGAAAAATGAAACATTACGACTCAGCTGAAAAATTATGTTGCATTTTTAAAGTTATTATATTTTATTCTTCAGATAATATATAAAAGAAAACCATGCTTCATGCTATGATAACAAGAATCTGCCCCAACACACACTTTTTATTTTTTGTAAATATAGCTTGTAATATATCTTTTTGTTCAGGAAGAAATGCCGTTAAATGCTTTGTTACAACTCAAAGCTCTTATTTCGATTTTCAACCTCTTTGGACTCCTAGGGGCCTCTTTTCAACTTTTGGATAAATTTTGGTTTGCATCTAAAATTGGCCTTAGAAATATTTTCCCTCCTTTCGCCACCTGTGAAAATTTATTTCAAAAACCACTTTTTTGTATCCTAACTCAGTGGGAAAAGTTCTCTTGTGTTCCCTAGTCTCTCATCTGAAAGTAACTAAGATGATACCTAAAGAATAAAAGCATGCTTTCAAATCAGCAGTTTTGCCATTACACTAAGAGATGGACCTAAAATGCATTTTCATTTCCCATATTTTTAATTGAGCTTTCCGTTTGAGTGATAAGATCACAAAAAGAAAAGAAGGCATGACCCCCCTACATGACAAATTAGCTGTCAATCACCTCTTTTCATTTTTGCTGCATTCTAGGATTTTGGAAAACACGAAGCAACAGGTGTCTTTAGAGGCTAACATGCCACATTTCATCCCTACAATTGTGTAACGTTTTGACGCCAGACGACAATTTTGAAATCGATGAGTCTTTCTCCTGGGAAAGAGTGAAGTGCTGAAATTAAAATTTTAGCTAAACAGAGGCGAATGAAACTCGAGTGGAGTAAACAATAAAATAAAACTAATATACTTGTATTCAGTCCTAGTGCAGAGTCAGTAAACTCCACATCCCCCCCATGAACATAACACTGAATCCTAAACAACTTGTAAATTAATGATAAAAAATTATTGCATCATAAGTTGTTATAATATAAAGAAATCCTGTCATTTCACAGAGTAGAAAAGAAGAAGACTGGTGCTGCCATCTATTGGCGTACTACCTTCAGTATGGGCACCCCGGTATATATTATATACTGGTCTTAAAATCATATAAATAATCTCTTAATTATCACTTCTAACTGAAATGAAGTAAATATATAAAATTCAGCATGGGTACATCATGTATTTGCAGATTTTCAATTTTTTTCTTCCCCTCCAATAGAATTTATGAATCTTCAAACGTGATACCTTGGAAAGAGGTATATTAATTTCATAACTGCAAAATATTGAGTATTCATAGGGTACTGCTGCCATTTAGAATCAAAGGGAAATACTAGAAACTTACGATTACAGCTTTTAGTGTAAAAAAAAAAAAATTAGCATTTTTAGGAGGTTAAAAAATTGACAAAAAACTGGTATATTAATATACCGGTTCCCTTTAAAGGGTGAAAGGACAAATATCAAAAGATAATGTAATCCATTATAATACCTTCTCGAAATAAATAAGATTAGTATTTACTTTTGATGTCAAAATCACTAACCTACACTTTTGCAAAAACACCAATAAGAATAAATTTTACCGAAACAAAATTTTTTCAGTTACACAAGTAAATACCTACAGATGATCGAAAAAAAAATTTTTTTTTTGAAAATAACTCTCATTAAAATTAGAATTTTTTCATGAAACAAAGTGCTATAATTCAACAATGCAGTTTTTATATGCTCTTAATTTACTGACTCAAATATTTACATACTTGAAATTAAATAATAGATTAATTTGTAAAATAAAAAAAAATAAAAACTGTCAGAACATTCTACCATCGTACAATCTACATTCTACAAGAAGTTTTAAGCAAAAAATAGTATGGAATAGATTTGCTATTATTCTGTTAATCATTAAACAAAATGGCAAAAATGTTTAATAAACAGAGCTTCACGAAATACATAAATTAAAAATTACACTTCTAGGAAAATGTATCTTACCATAGGTTCATCAGTTTTTTTCTGAAACTGAACAAGACGAACTCGAGTGACAGTTTCAGCTTCAGGCCCAATTTCAGTTTCCATTCCTTGAACACCATTAGTATAGCAAGCAACTGGAGGAGGTGTTACACAAATTGCATCTTCTCCATATACTTCATGAGATAATACATCATGTGCTTGTAGTAAGGACTGAAAAATAATTAACTGCACATTAAAATGACATACATTCAAATAAAAATAGTAGCTATGTCTTTTTCTTACAATCAACCTGCACTGTATGCCTAAGATGATCCCTATTACAGCAAAAAGAGGAGGGGTAAAATGTTTTAGTACATGTAGTTAAACTTCATCAAATGCTATGCAGGCTAAAATTACCTTAATTAATATTAGGAGAATAAAATAATAGCACAGAGAGAGACATTAAAAGAATAATAGTATCCTCATAATAATTATCCTTTCGTCGAAGATGGCTAGTGTAAGAACTTGATAAAACTACATTAATCCCTTTTCATTACAGCGACTTCACATCAACTAGACATGCTGAAAAACTAAGAAGAAATGTTTAAATTTCTTACATTTATAAAGGAACAAACGGAGATTACTATCACACATACTACAAGTACCAGTGCTTATGTTACACACATGAAGATATTCATTTTATAACATTTTCAGTATGTTTCCTCAGTAGTATGGAGTATTTTATTTAGCATCGATCTAACAACTTATTTCAGAAATGTAATAGCACAAAAAGCTTATTAAACTTCCATAAGGTGCTTATAGTAAGGGAAGTATAAATGAGCTAAATAAAATAATCAGAACACATTCTTGATTTAAAATTATGCAGATTCCTTGGTACTCTTCTGTTATCAGGACCGGATTCCGATGTTCATTTATGCATGTATATACACATACGTACATACATACATATGCATAGACACATACATATACTGCATATAAATACATACTTTTTTTAATACAGTCCCAATAATCCAGTCTGAGTATCGATTCCTCTGGCAGAATGTATCATAAGCTATATTTGTAAAACAAAATAAAGTATCTGCGGGTAATTCGCTCCAGGGCATACTGTGGATAATAGTGAATGCTACATAAAGCTGAACATTCATACAACATACATAAATATGGTGAAATTTAATACATGAATGTGCCATGGTAAAACACATTGCATATTGTGTTACTTTTTATATCATAATATTGATAAAGCAATGCAAAATTTTCTCTATATTACAGTTTGCACTACCTCTTCCTCGGTGCATTAAGGAAGAAAGTTCGAAATTTAAGCTGATCATTAAAAGGTGAGTCATTAAGATATAAAGTTCCTATACCATAGAGTATAAAGAACTGTTTCAAGGGCTAGTAAGAATAAAAATATTTCTTTTACCATCAAAGCAATCAAAACACTTTTTATGTCTACAAATTTTATAATGAAAATTACTTGTGCATACCTGTATATAACATAGAATAAGGAAATTTCACTTTTGCAAGCTTGATTGATTGACTGTAGTTTCTGGCAGAAAAACCTTACAAGGTTATCTGCACCAAACAAGGGGTAAAAACAGTAAATACAAAGTATGTTAAAATTTCCATATGGACCATTACTATACATTTTAGGCGAGGTAAAAACAGATTAAAGTTTATAACAAAAGTCAGTATCCTTTAAAAAGTGGAACAATTTCTGATGATGGCATTTCCCTATTATGTTGTTTAAATCTAATTTTAAACATTTAAAATGTTTTTGATGAAGATAATTAAAACGATGACATTCTAATAAAATATGGTGGACTCGGATCTTCATTACAGTTCGCACAAACAAGATTCTTCTCGCCTTTCAGCAAATATTAGTCAGTCAGCTGACAATGAACTTTCTCAAATAGGTCAAAATAACTTGTTCCCTTCTGTTTTTGAGATAGACAACCCACATTCAATTGTGGGTCTAACATTTCTGAGCTTGTTATTCATTTGGTCAGCCCAATATCTATGCCATTTATTAAAATGTTGATCATCCTGCTGATATCTGTGAGCGGAATTGGAGAATTAGATATTGTAGTAACAGTTTCAGCTGTAATGTCCACTGGTTCATTCCCTTTTGTGCCAACGTGGTCGGGGATCTAGGAATAAAGAATCCGATATCCCCAATATTTTAAAGTCTGATTATGCTTCAGAATTCTGGTAAAACTGGAATGTGAATTAAATTTAGGCTCCTTGAATGATGTTAGGACACTTAAGGAATCTATATAGATAATGAAATTCCTGTGCCGTTGTTTTGACAGAAACATTTAAGCCTGATATACTGCAGTAAGTTCAGAGGTAAAAATGGAGCAAGCTGGGTGTAATCGAAAGCCCAGAATATTTTTTCTACTACAAAGGCTGCATCAACGTGATCTCAGCATTTTTATCCATTTGCATATAGAGGGACATAAAACGACATCTCACTTGTTCTAGATTTATCCCAGTGTTGGAAGGTATCTACAGACTGAATTTTCCAGTTCTCCCATAGTCGCATCTCAAAAGGATTCTCCAGCTGTGTATTTATATTAGTCATATTATACTGTTCTAGTAAGGTGCAAAACCAACCAACCCATGTCCAACCATGTTAACGGGAGCATGAATCATTGAGTAAATATAAATTGATGGCATTCTGAATCTGTGACATGATTTTAAAATAATGATTAAGACAAAGATGCCCACATCTTAAACTTGGAGCAGTCTTGTTGTTTTCCACTAGAGAAGTTCTAAAGCAGGGGTTCCCAACCCTATGCCTGCGGGTACCATGGCGCCTGTTGACCGTTTAACCTGTGCCTGCTGCTGTGCAATCACAATAAATATGTTTTAGTTTTCAATAAAATTCTATGTCACAGTTTTCTCATTTTTAATGAAATAGAAATTGCATCCCAACACAAATACGAGCACAAAGCGAAATGCGACTGATTTCTTTTCTTTTTCTTTTCTTTTTTTATGTGCATCTATTATATAAACTCTAACACACTATAAATTCACTTGAAAAAGTAAACGGTGCCTGCTGTCCAACATATATTCTAGAATGTGCTCTTAGGGAAAAGAGGTTAGGGACCACTGTTCTAAAGGCACCAGTGCAGATACAAATTGCTTGGTGGTGTACTGGATCATGTTTGGCAAGTACGGAAGGCCTTGCTGACCTGTAAATGACTGATCTGTGGTCAAGTTTTGAATGGATAAGGGATCTACAATGTACGTCCAGAAAATAAGTTCCATTTGGTAATGAAAGTAAATTGTGTACAGCTACAGAAAAGTTATTTATGGCACAAAATTCAACAACTCTTAAACTACTTTTCCACATAACTGCCGAAATATTGCAGGCATTTGTCATAACGTGGCACAAGTTTTCGTATACCTTCTTCATAGAAATTTGCCGCCTGTGTCTTCAACCAGTTGGAAACAGTTTCTTTCAGCTTGTCATCATTGTTGAAGTGTTGACCGCCAAGGAAAGACTTAAGATGTAAGAACAGATGAAAGTCGCTAGGAGCAAGGTCAGGGCTGTACGGAGGATGGTCAAACACGTCCCGGCCAAATCCCTGTAGGAGGTTTTTCGTCACATTTGCAGCGTGTGGTCGTGTGTTGTCGTGAAGAAAAACAACACGCTTATTCTGTATTGCGCGGCGCAATTTCTGAAGTGTCTCGTAATAAGCATCTGCTCTGATTGTTTGACCACGCGGTAAGAAATCAATGAGTAAGATGCCTTTCCAGTCCCAGAACACTGTGCAAGTCATTTTTCGAGGTGTCAAGATTTGCTTCAGCTTAAACTTTGCTGGGGATGAAGTGTGCCTCCATTCCATTGATTGCCGCTTACTTTCAGGTGTCGTAAGAAACCCAAGTTTCATCTCCTGTGACTGTCTGTGTCAGAAATTCTTCGCCGTTTTCAGCATAATGGGTCAAAAACTGAAGTGCACTACCCATCCGTTTTGTTTTGTGTTGCTCAGTAAGAATCTTTGGTACCCAACGTGAGCAATGTTTACGAAATTTCAGTTTTTTGGTAACAATTTCATGCATTAGTGATTGTGAAATTTGGGGAAATTCCATAGCGAGAGCACTAATTGTAAACCTTCGGTTTTCATGGATCTTGTCATCAATCACGAGAACCAGTTCTTCTGTAACCAAAGATGGACGCCCACTTTTTCATCGTGCACATCACTACGTCCGTCATTGAACTTTCGAACCCATCTTCTCACCATTGAATCACTCATCGCTTTTGGTCTGTAAACATCGCAGATTTGCCGATAAATTTCACTAGGTTTCACTTTCCTCGCATTCAGAAAACGAATTACAGATCTGATTTCACAAGCGGCGGGATTTTCAATCAACACCGACATTGTAAACATGCACAACAAAGCATATGTGACTGACAGCGATCTCCAAATGGCACGCGTTTCTTCTCCTTGATACAGAGCGTCTACTGCGCATCTGCGGAACTACGATCGCAGAGCTGCAGCGGAGATAAATTGAAACGGAACTTACTTTCTGGACGTGCCTCGTATATTATATATATATTATATAAGCAGCAATGTGCTTCGATCAGCTCCCCACAAGGTATTTGACAAGACTTTCAAAATATTCATAGTTTTAAAGCATTTCCTTCTTAGGAAGGTGATATTGGGAAAGGAAAGTTAACTTATGGTCGAACAGCATTCCTCGGAGTTTTGCGTCCTTTTCTACCGGAGTCAGTACATCTTGTAAATAAAGTTCAGAGTCAGGATGAGGAATCTTCCTATGACAAAAATGCATACACACAGGGGAGAAAATCTAAAACCATTGCCTTGCGACCATTTAACTATTCTGTTCATAGAAGTTTGTTATTCTCTTTCCACATATTTTATGTCTACTCCTCGACAACTGAATTGCAGGTCATTAACATAAAGCATACCATAAACTGTAGGAGGCAGCTGTTATACGAGTCGATTTTTATGCTAAATAGAGTGACACTTAGTACACTGCCTTGCAGAACTCCCGAGCCTTCACGAAATTCCCCAGAAAATGACAATCTTCACATGAAACTTAAGATCCTGTAAGAAGTGTTTAATAAAAATCGGCAGGTTTCCTCATACGCAGTTATTGTACAAGTCATAAAGGATGCCGTACCTCCATGTGGTATCAAAAATTTTCTCTATATAAAAAAATATAGATACAAAGGGGATTCC